GTCCTGGAGATGGGAAGTACAGTGCCTGCACTCTGAAGGAGGGGTGTTAAGGGTAGTTCGACCAAATTGCGGCCTACTTTTTTATTTTTCAACCAATTTTTTTTTATTTTTGGTGTACATTTAGAGGTTCATATGTAGAAGAATGTGAGAAAGTTTCAGTATGATTGGCCAACAAACAACAGAGAAAAAAAATATTTAATGACTTTTCATATATGGCAGCAAGGTATGACAAAATGGCACTTCGAGTGGCACTTCCGACAATCCCAACCGTTAGAATACATCTGACACGACTTTTGGAGGAACATGTTTCATCTAATATATCTTATTATCATGGAAAAAAAAATACATTTGATAGACTTTTTGGCATTCACCAAAATATCTGCCTTTTACCTCCCACAAAATCAAAAATATTTGATATATTCCCAAAAAAAAAGTCACAAATAGTCAAACACACTTTGTTTTATATTGTCAGTGAAAATCATTTCAATACAATCATTAATAATGGTGTAATTTAGCGAAATAAGTGAAAAAGTTACCTCCGAGATATAGGCCTGGAACGCCGGCCAGCCCGCCGTCTCCAATTTTTTTTTTTTCGCGAAAATCGCGTTTGTTTCAGTGGTTTTCTGAGTAAATTGATGTTCTAGTGCAGTTATCCTCTTCAAAATACCGTTTTCTATCACTCACAGACCAAACAATACAACATGGAAACCAGGAGTAACTCTTATATCGAAATACTGCTGGTGGACTCTCGGCATATTATGGCCTATTTTATTCAGTCTAGAGTATATAACATGTTTGTTTGTTATTTATAGTGTTTATTATATCATATTAGATCAATTCTGATAGATAAATAAGCCGTATAGTTGATATATAAGCTGATATAAACGTAATAATGAAGTGATTTCACCTGGCACCATCTGGAGGGGGAGTACTGCCGAGTGTACCCAGGTGCTTCCTGATAGGCTAGACGTCTATTGATAAGCTCCACTTACTCTTATATGATGCCAGATAATCAATTATTTTATTAGAAAGAATAATGCAAAGAAAAAGCAATAAAAAACAAGGAAAAAATTCCAAAAAATACATGGGTTGAGAACAGTCACGCTACCTACATCGCCGTTACCATACCTGATATAAATGACTATAATTTCTTGTAGAAACATCTTAGAACATTGATTCTTGTACCATTGTGTTGCCAAAGAGTTAAGCTATTTTTCGGTATATATAACTCATTTCCATAATTTTTCGATTTTTGGTTGAGCGCGCGCGGAAAATTGCCCACGTGCTCCCTTAATGTTGCAGTTTAAAAACTGTAGTGTAAAGCACCTTTCTGGCAAGACAGTGATGGAGTGAATGATGGTGAAAGTTTTTCTTTTTCGGGCCACCCTGCCATGGTGGGAATCGGCCAGTGTGTTAATAAAATAAAAATAACCCAATGACACAAATCAAACTCAGCTCCTCCCACTCATATATTTGTCCAATCTCTTCTTAAAGCTACCCAAGGTCCTAGCCTCGATCACCCTATTGGTAAGTGTGATTGTTACAAAAAAACGCGATTCTAAAAGCTTAGAGATCTCCAGTGAATACTAGAAAGGACTGCCCTGCTAGCATCCAGCCTGTTACTGGGTTTTTGTAACAATTAGTCAGTATCCTTGTCCAATTATCCATTAGAATTCAGTATGATTCAATAGTGCTTCAGGATTACAACTGGTAGGCTACTAACTAGAGAAATTAAAATTTAATATATTTATTAAGTCTAGAGGTATATTATCAAATTAAATTAAATTAAATTAATCACAGTAATCAAAATAATATCACTTCTCTCGAGTACAATATTATTGTGCTGAAAGCACATATCACATTTATAATTCTTAAGTACCGTCTGATACATTAACATTTAATAAGATATTACAAATATGTACAAATAATTTTGTGTGTATGTGTGTAAGTGCTCTAAGTAGTTCACTTTGTCTCACGACTCGACTAGACTTAAACAAGTGACTGACAAAGTCCTCACATAAACTAACTTCTTGACCAACTGGCAATCAGAACAGTCTGCTTGAACAACAAAAAGAATGCTAAGCCCAGTAGCAATATAACAAGCAGCTGCGACACAGAATCAGGAACAAGGAGGTAATATAACGACACTAAGTAGGGACCATCTGTAGATCCTCCACAATTCACCAAACTCCCATACTACTGAATCTAAGTTCAGCATAAGAAAATCCCTGACTGTGATAATACACAGATACCAGTACAAGTTAGGTCAGAAGCTACAGCTCAGGACCTAAGTTGCTCAGTGTCTTAGCTACACACAACCTCAGTACAACGTCGAAAATCACTAAGTCTATACAATGTTCTGTGAACAGAGTTCTACAGAACTAACAAGAATAATGAGACAGACAATCTGTCCAACCACCAAGCAAGTCTAGACCAGACTGAATACTTCAGGCGAGGTGAGGACACCCCCCCTCGATCACGTGATAGCTCCGTGGACAGCTGCAGCTCAGAAACAGAAGCCGGCAGTCTCACGAGCCACAAGCGATAATTACAGTAGTTAGACAATCAAGACTTGAACTGAGCACATAATATGTTACATCCTACCTAACCAAAGGAAGCTAAGTCAAATAACAATATAAAGCAATATTTTTACGATTTAGCTATTATCGCAAATACAAGCAATATAAAATTATATGAAAAGGTAATAATTATATATATATATATATATACATATTAATCATTGCAACCCATTCAGGGGTTGCAACCCCCCCCCCCCCCCCCCAACATGACAAACGGTTGCACTAGGAGTTGCATTAATGTCTTTCACATTATTACTGATTACTCATGATACTTTAATAACAATATAATATAAACATTAATCAGAGTCACTCTTGTGCCAAGCACCTCTATAATTTCACAGCATCTATACAATAAGATATGCCCCTAGTACTAGGGCAGTACACAGTATCGTATCTCTGCATACTCGTGGTTATGTACATCAGTGTAGAGACAGGATAGCGTAGACAAGCATAATAGTCTTGTGCTATAGACAGGAGACAGCATTCCACTCTTAGTAGTGGTTGGGGAAATGCGAGGCAGTATGGACATCTGAGTATGAAAAGTTGGTGTGTAGTGAGGGGGGGGGGTTGCGGCAGGACAGTGTTGCGCCACACGCGTAACTCACCCACACAACACTCCCCATCATCACTAATTTCCCGTCTCCTCCTCCACATATCCCCACTCTGTGAATTTTAATAAATAAAATAATAGACATGACATGGTTACTATTTTAATTGGGTGGAGGGATTAAGTTATTTACTGAATTTGCATAGCAGTAACAAAAGGTTTTTGGGGGCATTAAAATTACGTTAATTTAATGAACTAAAAAAATTTTAAAGGAGGACAGAGCGTCAGCAATTACATTAAAGGACCATTATGTGTTTTTTCTAATAGAAAAAGGTTTGGATTCTGAGGGCCCCACCTCATGACTAGCTTTTTACTTTTCTAGTGTTTATTGGTGAGGGGATTGTTGTCTGAAAAAACTTTAAAATTTTTAAATGGGGAAGTCCCCCAAATACTCGTCAAAATGTTCTAAGGACCCCAAAGAGCTAGGATCTTTCCAATAGTGGCATTTTTTTTCTGGTGTCATATAAGTTTAAAAGAATGAAAACATATAGGATGGGAATATCGGGATTTTGCGTTGGGCAGCACAACCCCCACTGATAACACTCGATCTATTGTAAAAGAAGGGAAGTTTGAAATTAGGATCTTCAAAAGAACAGGGGAAAAAGCAGATGCTTCAATTTTGAACAAATTGAAAAATCACTAGTCCAGATGAATCTTTGTACTATAAATAGTGAGAGGGTAGTGGAGGTGTGTGTGCTGGTTTGCCGTCACTTGACACACGAGAAAAGTCGCACATGATAAAGAAAAAAGTTTTGCCAGTTTCGAGTGTCTTTTTGCCCCCCCAAAATGCCCTCTATGGGACATTGTGAGAAAAATCAAGGGGCTTGTTCACAAAGTAATGGTAACCTACGAGATGCTTGCTGTGGTGAAAACACTATCAGCTGACAATTTTAAATGTATTTTTCTCCATCATTTACACCGTACTATAAATAGTAACAATTATCGAGATCCTTTGCTTCACTCTCAGTAATGCTATATCTCTCAGTCTTTCCGTGACTGATCAACAAACTAAAACTTGATTAAATCATCATGAGTTAGAAATTTAAGTCGTTGTGCCCCTGACTGGGTTGTGACGGGGGGGAGTTTTGTTAATGATCCTGGGTGCGAGCATCACTAAACAACATATTCAACCCCAAAAACTTTGTATCCACTAACTCAACGGAGACAAGGATGATTGTTGAATCTTTGACATGCTTAGTAATTGCGCTGAGAGGAAAAAAAATAGGCTTCTCTCTACAAGCTTCAATGGCATAATTATTATCAGTGTTATTATCAATACAAGTGGTTCCTTAATATCCAGCATAAAGGATATCGTTCCCTATCAACAAGCCCCTGCCCTGATGGGAATACCCATGGATATACCCACTGAAATATAACAAGTAAATGTTTTTCAATATAAATTTGGCAGAGGTCTTTTAAAACAGCCCTCCTTAGGCTTCAAACAATAACTATCTTGAATAGGTTCATCATTATGGGCAGTATATTTTTCCTTAAAAAAGTGAGATAACTGCCGGGTTCGAAAGAATTATTCAGTTAGATGTGTTCGTAAACCTACTTTCCCTTCGGAAGAAAGGGACTCGTCGTGAAAAATCTTTTGTCGTACACTTTCTGACATAGTCATCTGCCCTGAGAATATTTCTAAAACAGTAGGATCAGAGGTTTACTAGGTTTTTGGTGCCTTTTTTGCTCGGAAAAGATACGACTTGAGTGGTGGCGCCAGCCCAAAAATGTTTCGTATTCTTTTAACTTATAGCAATACTTTAGCATGTCCCCTTTTCTGTTACAATGGTACATTTTTTCTTTCTTTTCTCGATATGATTTCTTCTAGCCCAGGACAGATTCAGGATTGTGAGTTTTCCCGGGAAAGGTACGAGAGTTACAGTAGAGGTAATGGGGCCGGGAACGAGCAGCTGATTTGGTTGCCCCAAATTCTAGGACAACTTTTAGTTCCTTGTTTCTCTGTGTTTTTTTTAGTCAAGTTTGTGAGAAATTCGTAATTGTCTGTAATGCTGGTTTCCAGAATTCCGAGGTAGTTGATCGATCAGATATTTTTTGTATGCGAGACATACAGTTGTTAAAAATTTGTGTAGTAAAAATGAACAAAGGGTGTCGTAGTTGTTCATTTGGCGACCTAACATCTCTCAAATCCTTTTTTTCTCCGAGCAAACTTACAAAGTTTGTTTGTCGTCGTGTAACGTACGAAATGCAGTTGATAACTTTCAGGTAACAAGTTTATGTCTCTAGAATAGTTTTTTTGACAGCACATAACTAAAGTACTTTGGGAATGGTAAAGTAGCAGTACAAATTTGGTCTTTCCCGTCAAACTGTGTGAAAAAAGGTAGCCCAATGCTTTCGTGGGCCCGTTCATGCAAAGCCCGGTTTTCAAACACATCAAAATAGGTGTCTAAGTCACTTTCAAAAATTAGGACCGGATGCGCTTTCGCACATTAAAAGTGTCCTGTGATCTTCAGTGTTGTTTCCAGAGAACTTTTCTTTGGAAATCTTCTTCGTTCAATTTCTCTGTGCCTTTTTTTGCGTCTGCAAAATATTTAGCGTTCAAAATCTCAAAAAGTTCCTGAGTATAGGACCCGGGGTAAAGGGGGAGTAGGGAAATTAACATGTCTTTCTGGGGTGTCCTTAGGTCGGAAACTTCGTCCCGCCGTCCCTAGAGGTTAGATTGGTTAGGATAAATAGTTTCGGTGTAGCATACACTGTCTAATATGAGGTGCGTCGTTAACGTTAGGAAGGAAGGCGGTGAGCGAAAAATGAGCTACACTAGGCTCAGACATAGGGTCACTTCTGCCTTTTTTTTGGGGGTCTTTCTTCTACTTCATCGAAAAAGGTATACTTCCTTATTGTGACACTAGGTTTTTGAATCTGATCATAAAAGAATGTCTGTATGAGCAGGAAAACAATTTTTATCTTTAATTTAAAACTCTGCGTTTTGCTGTGAATTCCTGTTTATGTCCACAGAGTATTTGGCTATCGCCAACGTCTGAAGTTTTAAAAGTATTAACTCAGCAAAGTCAGGTATCAATTAACTGTTCCACTTTGGCAACATCACGAAAATAAGTTTACTACGAGAGGGGGATTTTGGGGAAAATATAAACCCAAAAGGAATTTTTGTGTTGGTTTTTAGAGCTAGAGCTCAAACGTATTTCCATTCCTTGGACAAGAGACTCGCAAGTACATACATCCCCCCTAGTATGTTGTACAGACAAAAATCAAAATTTCAGATTAGGAAAGTCCAAAGGTTTTATCATGAAATTATAGTTGTCAAATGAACAATTTCTCCCAACCCTTTGGATTAAGAGATCCCGGACAGGCCCCCATTTGTTACAAAAAAGCGTTTTTAAAGCTTAGAGTTTACGTGAATAGAAAGGACTGCCCTTCTAGATCCAGCCCGTTTTGGGTTTTTGTAAAAAATTAGTCAGATCCTTGTCCCCAAATTTTCCATTAGAATTCAGTATGATTAAAGTGCTTCGGATTAAATGGTAGGCTACTAACTAGAGAAAATTAAATTTAATAAATTTTTTAAGTCTAGAGGATATTATCAAATTAAATTAAATTAAATTAATCAAGTAATCAAAATAGTATCACTTCTCTCGAGTTCAAATTATTGTGTGAAAGCAATATCAATTTTTTAATTTTAAGTACCCTCTGGTACATTAACTTTAAAAAGATATTACAAAATATGACAAATAATTTTGTTGGGTTTTGTGTAAGTGCTCTAAGTAGTTCGCTTTTCTCACGACTCGTAGACTTAAACGTGATGACAAAGTCCTCACATAAACTAACTTCTTGAAACTGGCAGTCAGAACAATAAAAAGAAAGCTAACCATAGCAAATAAAAAAGCAACTGCGAACAGAATCGGAAAAAGGAGATAATATAACGACACTAATAGGGACCCTTGTAGATCCTCCACAATCACCAAACTCCCTATATGAATCTAAATTTTAGATAAGAAAAACCCTGCTGTGATAATTTCCAGATACCGTACAAATTAGGTAGAAGTACAGTCAGGACCTGATTGTCGAGTGCTTAGCGAACACAACCCAGTACAACGTCGAAAAAAAACTAAGTTTACATTTTTCTGTGAAAAGAGTTTACAGAAATACAAGAATAATGAGACAGACAATCTGTCCAACCCCCAAACGAGTCTAGCCGATGAAAATTCGGCGAGGTAGGACACCCCCCCTTTATCACTGAAGCTCCATGGACAGCTGCAGCTCAGAAACAGAAGTCGGCAGTCAAAAGACCCCAAGCAATAATTACAGTAGTTAGACAAATCAAAACTTGAAATGAGCAATAAAATTTAATCCTACCCAACCAAAGGAAGCTAAGTCAAAAAAAAAAAAAGCTACTTTACGATTTATTTTATCGCAAATAAAAGCAAAATAAAATTATATGAAAAGGTAAAAATTATATTATACATTTTAACATAATATTTTCAACCCATTCAGGGGGTTTCAGCAGTGATGTTAAATAAGAAAATAAGATCTTAAAAAAGGAGGAAACCTGCAAAAGGCTGCTGGCCCCTACTGGCCCGGGCCCTTTCCCAAAACCAACCCTAACGAACAAATCTACCCCAAACAATAGCTAGGTGCAAATCAGACTCAAAACCCAACCTCTCACTCATGTATTTATTTCCCAAACCCAAATTTGAAATACCCAAAATTTTTTGCTTGGATCACCCTACTAGGCAGACCATTCCACTCATCAACTACCACTATTACCAATGTTTTAGCTTGGACACCCTACTAGGCAGCCCTGTTCCACTCATCAACTACCTCTATTACCAATATTTTAGCTTAGATCACCTTACTAGGCAGACCGTTCCACTCATCAACTACCACTATTACCAGTGTTTTAGCTTGGATCACCCTACTAGGCAGACCGTTCCACTCATCAACTACCACTATTACCAATGTTTTAGCTTGGATCACCCTACTAGGCAGACCGTTCCACTCATCAACTACCACTATTACCAATGTTTTAGCTTGGACCACCCTACTAGGCAGACCGTTCCACTCATCAACTACCACTATTACCAATATTTTAGCTTAGATCACCCTACTAGGCAGACCGTTCCACTCATCAACTACCACTATTACCAATGTTTTAGCTTGGATCACCCTACTAGGCAGACTGTTCCACTCATCAACTACCACTATTACCAATGTTTTAGCTTGGATCACCCTACTAGGCAGACCGTTCCACTCATCAACTACCTCTATTACCAATGTTTTAGCTTGGATCACCCTACTAGGCAGACCGTTCCACTCATCAACTACCACTATTACCAATGTTTTAGCTTAGACCACCCTACTAGGCAGACCGTTCCACTCATCAACTACCACTATTACCAATATTTTAGCTTAGATCACCTTACTAGGCAGACCGTTCCACTCATCAACTACCACTATTACCAGTGTTTTAGCTTGGATCACCCTACTAGGCAGACCGTTCCACTCATCAACTACCACTATTACCAATGTTTTAGCTTGGATCACCCTACTAGGCAGACCGTTCCACTCATCAACTACCACTTTACCTAATGTTTTAGCTTGGACCACCCTACTAGGCAGACCGTTCCACTCATCAACTACCACTATTACCAATATTTTAGCTTAGATCACCCTACTAGGCAGACCGTTCCACTCATCAACTACCACTATTACCAATGTTTTAGCTTGGATCACCCTACTAGGCAGACCGTTCCACTCATCAACTACCACTATTACCAATGTTTTAGCTTGGATCACCCTAACTAGGCAGACCGTTCCACTCATCAACTACCACTATTACCAATGTTTTAGCTTGGATCACCCTAAGCAGACCGTTCCACTCATCAACTACCACTATTACCAATGTTTTAGCTTGGATCACCCTACTAGGCAGACCATTCCACTCATCAACTACCTCTATTACCAATGTTTTAGCTTGGACCACCCTACTAGGCAGACTGTTCCACTCATCAACTACCACTATTACCAATATTTTAGCTTAGATCACCCTACTAGGCAGACCGTTCCACTCATCATCTACCACTATTACCAATGTTTTAGCTTGGATTCACCCTACTAGGCAGACCGTTCCACTCATCAACTACCACTATTACCAATGTTTTAGCTTGGACCACCCTACTAGGCAGACTGTTCCACTCATCAACTACCACTATTACCAATATTTTAGCTTAGATCACCCTACTAGGCAGACCGTTCCACTCATCATCTACCACTATTACCAATGTTTTAGCTTGGATTCACCCTACTAGGCAGACCGTTCCACTCATCAACTACCACTATTACCAATGTTTTAGCTTGGATCACCCTACTAGGCAGACCGTTCCACTCATCAACTACCACTGTTACCAATGTTTTAGCTTGGATCACCCTACTAGGCAGACTGTTCCACTCATCAACTACCACTATTACCAATGTTTTAGCTTGGATCACCCTACTAGGCAGACCATTCCACTCATCAACTACCACTATTACCAATGTTTTAGCTTGGATCACCCTACTAGGCAGACCATTCCACTCATCAACTACCTCTATTACCAATGTTCATTTATACATTTTATTAGTGCTTTACATTTATTTGGTATTTTTTCTGCATGTAAATCTATATTTATGTTAGGGAAGTGACCCCTGAAGTGAGCTCGAGTCCTTATGGAGGGGGATTCCCCTTCCAAACAATAACCTCTCTTCCCTCTCTCCTCCTCCCTGTCTTCCATTCATCAACAACAGCCTTCAATAAAGGTAACTGTCATGTTGAATGTTTATTCTTTTGTGCATGTAACTCTATCTTTTAGGTAAAAAAAATTTTTTTGTTGATACTTCTG